ACAATAATAATTATAATATATATCAGTTTATAAAATTTTATAATAAATAAAAATAGTTACAAAGTTATTTACAAATCAGAATTAAAATTGCAATTCTGGTCACACTATCAAGTAATAAGAGCTTTGGCATAAAAATCTAAGAAACCAGAATAACTGAAAACCTATTTGGGAAGTCTTGAGTTAGAAGTGGCAGTGATCTTTAATAGTACTACAGGAGGGCTAAATTTGAACTAGAGCCTGAGATCAGAGAACTAAGTGACCAGATTCTAATGGCAGAAGACACACTAACTGAACCACTGGGTTTTATCATACCAAAAAAAAAGACATATGCTCTGAAAGTATATACCAAAAGGAGGGCATCCTTTAGGCACTTAAAGCCTGAGCAGACCAACACTTCCATGTTGCTGGCTAGAAGTAAGAGAGAGACTGATAAAGAATTTGAATAAGAAAATAGTTTAAATATAAGTACTAGGGTTATTGTAAATCTAAATAAAAGCAGAAATAAGTAATCACAGGGATTCAATGATTAATCCTGATTTCAAGTATATAAGTAAAGCCATGGTATAAGTTACTAAAGTCTAGATAGATATATATATAGGATATGTGATATCTAGCAAAATAGTAATATTCCACTATCTGATAAGCTAATAAGCATCTAAAGTTAGGATAAGCAAACTTCACAGTATGTGTTGACCTGTCAGTAAGATAAAATAGGGGTTAATATGACTATACCAGTGTCACAGATTAATTTGTAACTTTTGTCACCAAATAACCTAGTCCAAATGATGAGAACTTTGTTTACTTTGCTATAACTGATTTTAAAATCTATACTAAGGCAAGTATTTTTATTTATTACTCAAAATATACTTTATTAATTAAGAGCGAGACTAATTCTAATTTCAAACTTATTAACTATTACATTTGCTTTGCTTATATATATATACTTTGGGTTACATTATTTATATCATTATTTGTTTATATACAATTATATGATTATTTGACTCTTATATTATTAATAAATTATTTCATATTTTATATATACTGATTACTTTACTTCGATTGCATAATTGATTATTACTCAATCTCTTAATTCCCAATCAATCTCTTGTATATACATTATATGCACAAGATAATGATTAATCATTTACTTTATCTCTATTCTTATACAAGTTTATCACATACTGTATATTACTATGATACAAGCTAGAGCCCCAAGAACTTCATTTCTGAAGTTTCTAGCATCTATAAGCTCTATTTTCTAACAATATTTGCAAAACTACTTCTTAAATTCTTATAATTCTCCACAAGTTTTCTAGTAAGATCTTTCTATTATCAAATATTTGTCTAATTTGGCTTTCAAGTAAGTGTTTCCTCTTTATACACTTTTTCTCTTTCTTTGAGCTTATTATATTGTTCTTAATTATTTTACTTATCCTTGTTTTTTTTCTACTATCTATATAATCATTCTTTTTGTGTTTCATTTTTTTATCATCAATATTATTGTTTTTCACTTGTAACTGCTTGCTCTTCTTTTTATTATACTCTATTATATTTGCTTTATTCTTCACATATATTCTACTCCTTTTATTCCTTTCAGTCTTTATCACTGATTCACAATTACAAGCAAAATATTTATTACAGCAAGATCTTTTATCATAGAATTCAAATTTGTACTGGTATTTATTTTTTCTATTTTTATTACATACTCTTTTGATATTTCTCATTTTACTTCTAATAATTTCAGCTCTATTATCTGTAGCTTTATCTCCTTTATCATCATTTTCAACTCCAACTTTATTAAAATATATATTGAATGCATTATTCCTATCAATTATCTTTCTCCTATCAAATATTAATCATATCCGCAGATTTGCAGATCACCTAAAATTTTTGACGCACCTAAATTTGACCATTATACAATGCAGGGTGCATCAAATAGTTGACATCCAATCATATGTGCTGTGTAATTAATAATCATCAATCATTTAACACCAAATAATCTAATGCAGTATTATAGCTTATTATTTAAGTTAACCAAATAAGTTAACCAAATTTAAATGTAGAACCACCTAACCAGAGAATTTCTATTGATTAACAAGATAAGTATTTTTTTTTTTTTATGTACAGTACATCTGTTTTTTTTTTTATAGCATTTTACTAATCTCTAGTTTTTTTTATAAAGTCGCTTCTTTTAAGTCTTGGGGTCTTTGTTTCTTGGTGCCTTCTTTTCACTGATATCGTTATTGATATCATCGTTTGTCAGTGCTGTCATTTTGGTATTGCTATTTCAATAATTAGTGTCTTTAGCATTGCTGTTTCAAGGGAGGTTAGGTTGTCTTTTATATTGCTATTTTATAGGTAGTCGCCTTTGGTGTCATTTTACAGATGGTCATTTTTGGCATCACTATTTCATGTGTGGTCATCTGGTGTCACTTTTTGTTGGTATTTATATATTGTACATGGTTTGTATGTTTCTTTGGTGATTAATTGTAGATTCAATTTCTTGAATAACATGGTTAATGGTGAATTTCTTTAATATAGCCAGCATTGAAGTGTTAAATGATATAGACCAATTCTTTGGCATATTTCTATTTCTTGACAAATATAGTGGCTTTCTTTATAATGTAGCAACTTTTAGGCTAGGGTTAGTGGATAGGTTAAAGCTGGGATAAAATTAGCAGTCAGAGTAATGGTTAAAATAGAATTAGTAGTAAAGTATGATGTGGTTTAGTTAGCATTTGTAGTTATATTTCAAATGCGATGCAACAAATAAATAAATAAATATACTGTATCTTTATTTTAATTTTTTTTTATATTTGCAAAACATTAAGATTGATGAAAAGGACAAGCTATATAATCATAAGACAGTAATGTAATAATTATATTGTAAAAGAATCATGGGTGCAGGAATATGTAATAAATTAAATTTTTTCAAATAAAATAAAGTTTTTAATAAATTATTTTATTATTTATATAACAATAATAATTATAATATATATCAGTTTATAAAATTTTATAATAAATAAAAATAGTTACAAAGTTATTTACAAATCTGAATTAAAATATATAGCAGACTCAGGACATGTCTTTTTCATTGTTGTTTATAAGTAAAATTTTCAAAAAAATATATGAATTTACTATATAACTTTGAGCTAAGATCCTTTTAAATCTAACTTATTAACTTTAAATTAAATTTTTGGGGAATCAAAGTTATAGTATACAACTCTCTCCTACAATCACCTGCACCAAAATTTTAAAGAGAAGAAAACTAACTTTACAGCACAAAAGCATTAGTTAGTATAACTTTGGGTTATATTAAAAATGTTAGAGCATAGAAAGATACATTAGTGTACCAAGTTTGAAAGAAAACGAACAACAAGAAAGTATTTTAGCTTTAGATTTCTGCATTTTTGGCGGATAGTTTTAAAAATTTGAAGAATTGCTCTAGACTCTGTAATGTAGATCACCACACGTGACAGTAAACAAAGTACACATAAATGAGTAAACAAATAAACAAACAAGTATATCACCATTTGTGGATAGATGCAGGGGATATAAGACAATATAAGAAAACAACTTAGTCACATAAACTATGCCAGCATGCACGTGACAAACAAGAATCAATCACTTTTCTCTGAGATAGAATGGGAGCAAAAAATAAAAATATACAAAAATCTTTTTGCAAAGTCTCCTAAGGAATTTAATGTAGTTAAGGATAAATATAAGAACAAAATCCTAAGAAAGACAGAGAGATAGCTAAAATGGCGGGAACAGAACCACAGCTAATATGCCTCTTTAAAAATATGATTGAGCTATACGACCGGTTAGAGTTTCTTAGAGTTAGAAATGCTGACAGAAACCAAATAGTATAGCCTGAAGAAGTACTCAGGATAAAAGAAGTTTTAATTGATCAAGAATGCAGCTATGTAGACTATGGAGTCTTAGAGAAATTAAACATAAATAAACACAAGCCGTCATATAAACAAATAGAGCTAAGCTTAACCCCTCAAGAAGCATTAGCGAAAGAAAAGCTGGCAGTAAAGTAAGAGCCTCTGAACGAAAACAAAGAACTCCTTATGCCAAAGAACAGAAAACCAAGTACTATTCAAGAAGATGGGCACTCGGTATTTGAAGAAAAAGAGGAAGAGGAGGCAGATTATACACAAAGGACAGCAGAAGTAAGGAAAAAGGTGTTTCCACAAAAATGTTTTACATTATGGGATATTCCGCTTGGCATAAAAGCAATAAGAATATGAAGGTGCCTACAGTTTTATAGCCGGGTTCAATTTAAACGATGGGAGCTTCTCAGAAAAAGAAAGCAGTATCCTTCATTCTAACTTTTCAAAATGAAAAAAGAAAAGCTCTATTAGAAAAAGCATGGGCGGTTCATTTTGAGGAAGGAAAAATATTAAGAATATCGAAGGGTGATTTTGCAAAAGATATTATTAAGGATAGAGCAGAGCATAAGGCTATAATCAGGAACATTCCAAAGACAGCGCTAGAAACAATGCTATTGAAATAGCTTAAAGTAGTTAAAGCACAGGCAGTATATATATCCCACAATAGCAACAAAAATCAAAAAAGCACAGCATCAGTATTCTTTGAATCAGAGGAGGATCTGTGTACAGCCCTAGGTAAAAAAGTGTATTATTACAATACAAAATTAGAATGGGTAAAGAGCAAGGAGTTTGAAAGGATAGATAGTAGTATACACAAAAACAATCTAGCAAATACAGAAGAAAAACCATCACGAAGGGTTATTAGAGTAGAAGAACCCTTAGATACCTGGGAAAAAAATAAAAGAGGCAATTCTTGTAAAGATAAAGAGAATGTAGATCCAGCAAAGCAGCAGCTTAAACAAAAGAATAATCTCGAGGATAAGCAACCAGAGATAATCGGTCAAGAGGAAGAAGAAAAGCCCATAGAAATTAAAAACATGCTGACAAAAATACTAGGCAGATTAGAAAAGATCAAGGCTCAACAAGAAACGAAAAACAAATTCAGGAGAAGGAGCCTGTTCCCTAAACGCTTCTAAAAGTTGCCACAGGCAGAATAAGAGAAAAAGGTGGCAAAGCCATCAAGTATAGAGGAGGGTTTGAGAGAGAGAATAGTAGAGTAGTAACTTTAGGGGTTTATAATATAAATGGGGTTAAAACGAACAAATGTAAGATAGATAGTGTAGTAGATTTTGTGAAAGAAAAAAGAATAGACATTTTGGGCTTATGTGAAACAAATATACAAGATAGAGAGGTATTTGGCAGATTGACAAAGAGGATAAATATTTTGGCTTCTGGGCATCAGTAGCAGAAGAAAAGAAAAAGGGTTCAGGGGTAGCACTTCTGGTATATGAAAGTATTGAAAAGTATTTAGCAAGGATTTTGAAGTGGTCACCATATTTATTAGAAGCGACGTTTGTTTTTAAAGAAGTATGGGTTCTGTTAGTGATTTATATATCTCCAAACGATAGTGAAATCAAAAAGAAATTTGCTGAAAGGTGATAAAAAGAGCAGAACAGAAGTACAAAAATAAAGAGACAAAATATATAGTGATGGGAGACTTCAATATAGAGTTGGAAAAAATAAATCACAATATAGAGAGAAGAGCTACAGCTATAAATAGAAAAACTCTTATCTGGGAACTCATAGATAAAGACTTCAAAAGTGCCTTCAAGAGAGTTAAAGATGGAGAAAAAATAACTACAAGAAGAGACACAGAAAAAGAGACGACAATTGATTATATGTAGGTCTCCAATAATTGGTTTAAAGAGTTAAGAAAGTGTAAAGTACAAGAGATGGACCTGGTAACAGAGAGTAATCATCACATGATTATGATATAGTTAGAACAAGAGGATTATAGATGCATACAAAAGAAAGCTCAAAGAAAAAGAGCCAAAACCAAAAAGATATGTATAGACCTCCAAAAAATTAAACCAGGTGATTGGGAAGACTTTGCACAAAAAACTGATGCTTTGATAATGAGCCAAGAATTAAAATGGGTAGAAAGCTCAAAAAAATCGGTGAGTATCTTAAGAGGAGAAGAAAGTCAAGATGCTCTAGACAGAGAGTGTGACATTATCAAAACTGCAATAAGAAAAGGAGCCAACAAGACACTCCCGAAAGTAAGACCAATAGCGAAAAAAAACTAAGAGTAGACTAAGACCCCTCCCACAGGCTCAGGGAAATTGCTAAAGAAGTTAATAAGCTCTGCAGAAAAGCCAAAAAGAAAATGTGGCAAGTAATAACAGACAAGTTAGCGAAAGCTCTAGAAAATGTAAACATAGTGATTGAGACAGAATTGGAGAAAGCCCCAGTCACATGGACTCACACATGGTTATAGGACACCTACAAACAACTAAAGCAAGTTGCAAAGACCGCAAAGAAGGTATGGAGTAAAACGAAATTGGCTAAAGAAGAGCATAGTATTAAAAAGAAAATAGAAGAAAGATGTGAGAATATCTCTTCAAATAAAAAAAGTATATTAAATAGCATACTTGAAAAACCATATCGGAGAATCAAAATAGATAGAGTATTTGAGGAAACAGAAGATAATATCTCCTTAGTTAATAGTGAAATAGAAGTTATGGGAAAGGTGGAATCTTTCTTCAAGAAAAATTTAGAAAGAGGAACATAGATAGAGAATTATTAAGTACATTCTGGGCAGAGCAGTACAGTCCTATAGAGAATATAGACAAGGAATAGTACAAAGAAGTGTCAAATAAAATAACATTAGAAGATTGGAATGAAGCTCTGCAGAAGACACGTAATAACTCCGCTTCAGGCCTGTCAAGCATCACGTATCCAGTCCTCAAAAATATCAGTACAAAAACGAAAGAAGCTTGTATAAGGCTTTTTTCAAAGTGTATAAAAACAGGAAACATTCCGTTAAAATAAAAAATTGAAGTTTTATATCCAATTCCTAAAAAAGAAGACTAGAACTATGAATTAAACAATATACACCCTATTATCCTACTAGAAAATGTCCGGAAAGTTCTAAGTAGAGTGATAATGAAAAAGCTAGAACAGGTTCTTAAAAAGCACAGTATATTAAAAGGTCCAAACTATGCAGGTCTTATAGGTGAAAGCACAGAAGACTCTATACACATACTGAACTGTATTACAGAAGAAGCACAGGAAAAAAAGCAAGAGTTGTGAATCTTATTACAGGATATGCAAAAGGCATTTAACTCTATAAGCATGACATTGCTAGAGTTAGCTTTTAAAAAAATTAAGATGCCAACAAATATACAAAATTATATTATTAGTTTGTATAAAT